TATAGTAGGAATATTATCTAGATCCATACTTGATGAGAAAGTGTACTCTATGATTGGACTCCCAAAGTCCAATAGAACGAGTGACAAGATGAGTTGTTTGCCCAGTTCTACTATTTTCACTCGTTTTTTCACTGTGGGCAAGATGTATGACTTGAGCAGTTCAGTGATATTTGGAAAATAATAACACACATGCAAGGTTCTGGTGATATACAGGTTTTGGTGTGTTTGAGAGTTGTGGTTCCAGCTGAGACAGAAAAAAATGAACTGATGAGATTAAAAAAAGAATATAGTCCTAATACGATTGCAATTTGGAAGTCTCAGATATTTCTATTCGGCTGTGATTTCTTTTAGTTGTATGAGGAGCATTTCATTCATCATCATTATAATAAAATTTATTGAATTAGAATATCAATAAAATACAATCCCATTTTGCTTCATGATTAAGCTCTTCAAACTTTGAGGACTAAATTAGCTAAAAATTCTGCTCGATCAATTTCTTAAAGAGGGACATTAGCTGAGTTGCTCCATCACACTATTGTTGAGATGATAACAAGCTATTTTATTGAAATTGATTAAATGCTTCAACCTTTGACCTTTTTAAAATGTATCTTTCATATTCCATAACAGCGCTCTCTCCAAGTTTGTAAATAAGGCTGCTGACTGTGGTATTACTGCTCTTCACATGGCTGCGTTGAATGGATATTTCGACTGTGTACAGCTTCTACTTGACCTTCATGCCAGTGTGTCAGCTGTGACATTCCATTATGGAACATCTGTGGATATGATTGGTATGTTATTTTGTTAAAGAATAATAAGATGCTTTTGGAAACCACTTCATGCATGTTTCTTTCACAATAGTGGACAGTACTACACAATACAATTTTTAAGATTTTATCTTGTTTTACTTTCTTAATAGGCCATATTGTCCAATCCACTTTACCAAACATGTATCACGTGCTTTAACTTGATGTAATATTCTTAGGACCTGGAAGCACTCCTTTGCATTATGCTGCTTGTGGGGGAAATTTAAAATGCTGCCAGGTGGCGATTTGTTCTTTCTTGTTGATATTTACACTTTATGGTGAAAGGAAACAAATGAAATTCCTCGTCTATTATTTCTTGACATTTGCAATCGACGTATAGTCAGAAATTATGAACATTTTGATTTATGCAGATCCTTCTTGCAAGAGGTGCCAGTCGTTTGGCATTGAACTGCAATGAGTAAGCCAACTGAATATTTCATCTTCTAGACTTTGTTCATTGTATGTACCTTTAGTACATGATACTTAACAGACCTATTCTCGATTTCAGATGGCTTCCTATTGATGTTGCAAGGATGTGGGAGCGTCATTGGCTTGAGCCACTGCTGGCGCCTAATTCTGACTTGATCCTCCCAGTGTTTCCGTCTTCTAACTATTTATCATTGCCGCTCATGAGTGTGCTCAACATAGCAAGGTGAATTTCGAGATGTCAAGAAAATTTACATATACCCAAATAACTCATCATGCTTATTCTTTACGTAAAACTGTAATTTAATGTTTAATGGAAATACCATTTATTCATGGTAATTATGTTCATGATTGATTTCTGCAGAGATTATGGGTTGCAGTCGTCAGTAGTTTCTGATGACACTGAGATTTGTGCAGTTTGCTTGGAGAGAGCGTGTACAGTAGCTGCCGAAGGTCAGTTGTTTCACTTTCTATTAATATAATTTTCTTTCCGAAATTAAAATATGCCCATTGACCTCTTCCTACTATTTTATGGGTATTTCAGTTGTCTGTTCTTCTACCTTATTCATGCGTGTTAGCAATCAACTTGCGTTCAGAAATTATAAATATCTGATGACCAACTGTTTTTATATTCTATGGGATTAAAAAATCAAGGACATGAATAACTTTATGAATTGCCATGTCATTTTAGAATAGATCTTGCAATGTTATTTTTTCTGGTTTCTTTTGTTGCTTTCCTATTTTCTGGCCATTATTTGCTCTCGTCTTAAGCTCATAATTTAGTTGTGCCAGTTACATATATAAAATCATGCCACATATTTTAGAAAATGCTTCTTTTCTTGCCCAATCTATCAATCCGTCTTAAAGGTAATCTTGGGTTTATAGTAGCTATTCCAGGATATCTTAAATATCCCATTTACTGGTGAAATAAAAGAAAACAGACCACGAATGTTGGCTAAAAGAAAAGAGAGGGAAGATCCGACATGTCTATCTGGGTCAATGTCAATATCATAAAAACCTACATTCCCACGTCCAGTACTAGCAAATAACTTGATTTCATGCAGATCACTAAAAATGGTAAAATGTGAGCTCTCACTACTTTTATAGTCATTCAATTTATTTCCTTAGAGTATAAATTATCATTAAAATCTTTAAAACCTAAAATGTATGTAAATAATAATATTAAGGCCAAAAATTTCAAGGACTCAATTGTTTAGCAATTTTACTGGTTTACATAACTATTTTTTTCAAGGTCAAGATTTGTTTCCCAATAGTAGGACAATAGGACTCTGAGAACTGGTTATAGTCTATTTGTATACTAGTACTGATTCATTGAGAAATTGAAGTGAATAAAGACGATGTTTAAAATTGTAGCAGTTACAAAGTTATTGAGCTTGGTAGTTATAGTATGTAATGTTGGACACAAATGTCTCAGAGCAACCACAGAGGATAATTTTGCCATAAAATATTATAGTTTTAGTTACTTAAGTTCAATGCAAGCGATTAAGATGAGTTGAATGAAATCAGTTCTACGCAATGGAAAGATACTGTTATAAAGCTAGTCAACAAAATATTTGTATTAGACATGCTATGGTTTATACTACCGAGTGATTAGGCTGTTGAAAGATTAAAAGTCTATAAGATGAATTTGGTGAAAAATGATGATGTGAAGATGGATTTGTAGCCATGTTAGAATGGATAATATATATAAAAATAAGAGTATGCACCCTTGTGTATGAGAGGAAGATAGAAGAATAACAATGAAAGGACAAAAAATAAATAAAAATAAAGTATTGATGAAACCTGGTAATGTCTACAGTAATTATGACTCTTCATTTTACACTAAATAAGGCCTCAAGTTTATATTATGGAGATGTTCTGCTCTCAGAAAAAATGTTAAGAATTGCATATCTGGAATTTGGCCAACCTCTACTTATCAGCTTCAGTCTGCTCTAAACTTTGTAATTATATTTCTCTGACTCTCATCATTGCATCAGACATTACGTAATATTTTACAGAAACCTTTTTGCATTGTGATATGGTAGTTTGCCATTTTTGATTTGTTTTTCGAACTAGTCCACCTTTATGCAAACACCAATGTTGGAACCTTCATGAAAATTGAGATGTTGAAGTGCTGATGGAAGTTGTACACTTTCTTAACACACAACAGATAAACACAACATGAATGTGCGCCCAAAGATTGAACATATGCATATTGATGTGATGAAGAGAGAATATTTTACTTCCACTTTTATCTGAAACCTTGGAAGACTTTCAAAATCTTTGATTTTTACATTTATTTACGATAATTTTATGCCGTGAACTTTCAGGTTGTGCACACGAACTCTGCATAAAATGTGCGTTTTACCTTTGCTCAAGCAGTAACTTCCGTTCTGAATCATTAATACCTCCTGGTTCCATTCCCTGTCCTCTTTGCCGACACGGCATTGTCTCTTTTGTTAAATTGCTTGGTTCCTCAGTAAAGGAAAATAAATTACCTCTATCACTTAGCTTATGCACTCCATGCGTCCTTCACCACAGAGAACAAGACATATTAGATGCTCCTAGCTCACCTGATACAAGTAACAAATGTGTAGCTTCTGTTTCTTCGGATATTTTCTGTCCGGTTACTTGTAGTCCATTTCCCTCTGTTGCAATCCCTCTGTGCATATGCAATGAAGGACATTGTCAGAATTTTGATTCTAGAGGAAATGAAACTCAAGAAGAACCATCTCATCATTCACAATCCACATCGATTGAACAGGAAAAGACGGAAGAAATACGACTGGAGAAAACGACCTGTTCGAGTATGTTTTGGGGTAGAAGAAGCTGCAGCAGGGAGCATCAGTGTAATGCTGAAATAAGTGCATGAACGGTTGTGTAAGATCTTATTCGTGTTTTTATAAACAGAAGATTATCTCAAGTATAAAATACTCGGATTCAAGTTTCTGGTGTCGAAGTCCAGAAGTTGAAGTATTCAAAATCGGCTTTTCTGCTGCTATTTGTTGTCCTCTGGTGATGATCAAGAACATCTAGTTCAGGCATGACAAGTTGACTGGTTTTGTAGGTTGCTTTAGAGATTTTAAACACGGCATGTAAAAAATCTGAATGTACATGATTGGTTATAAATGTCATGTGAGTGTTGGCATTTTTCTTGATTATCTTCAATTGTTTTCTACAAATTAATTTATGCAGAGATTTCTTTCGATTTTCCATATTCTTGTGTAGAGTGAATTTTATAAGAGCCTCCTAGGTTTGTCCAGTTTCTCAATTTCTGTGTGCCATCCTGGCAATCTTCTCTGTATAAAATTGTTAGCTTTTAAGGAAATACAAGAGTTTGGAACAGTTGTTTATGGGAATATTGTTTAATAAGCAATAAAAATGATTCAAATATAACATCAAATTCATGGAAACATGCAAAAGAGAGAGATTTTCTATTTCTTTATTTTTCTTCTTTTAATTTTTTTTAATTTTCTGACTGTTATATACTTCAAATTTTTGCTCAATGCTTAATTTGTACCGTTACTTTCCTCCAGCTTATTACAAATATTTCATTTAGGGTTCCAAAATCAACGTTGGCACGATTTAGCATTGTTCGTTAACTTCATCAATACTGCCAAATGAGTGAGAAATGTATCTGATCGAACTCCAGATTACTGTAAATTTAATACACACGTCCAGATTAAGAGCAAAACCAACTTTCTCCCACTCATGGCAAATTAATAATCACCAAACAGGAGCAAAAGAAAGATTAATTAAAGGCAAACAAGAAACAGCAAAACACAAATTTTTCCATTATTATGATACTTAAGATTAGGGGATCACTTCATAATCCCATCATAAATCCAACAAAACACACCTATTCTAACGTTTTATCAATGTCCCTATTAATCATCAGATCCTTTAAGAACTAAAGCTAAAAGTCTGTGGGACCCCTGCATTGACCTAAACCTTGTAAAGGGTTTAGCATAATGCAAGTACACTAGAACACAGATTATAGCAGGAGAAAGCACACACATGGCAAGACCTAAGAAACAAAAAGAAACATTATTTTGGTTTATAATTAATTATTCGTCAGATTTTCATCTTCTCCTGCAAGCATTCTCCCTTTGTGCATTGAAGTACACTGCAGCCACTGGTAAACCTAAGCCATTCTCTCCTGCGAAACTCCTTGTGTTGAAGTAATCCCTTGAAGCAGGTGGCCTCACAGAATTTCTTGCTCTCTGCCTGAACAGAATGAACACGTATCTGTGGATGCCAATGACTGGATTTGGAGTCTCGTAGCTCACAAGTTCTCTTCCTGGATTCATAGAATTCTCATGTTAAAGAACGGACAAATTATTTTCGTTTGTCGTGTCGTGTTGTGTCATGTCATGCTGCGTTACATCTGCATCGAAAATAGTTCAGAGGGCCGTGATAATAATTAATATCTTGGATTTGAGAAACTTACCAAATGAAGCATCAGTAGTACCTGGGATATCTGTAACTATCCTGAAAGAAGATCACATATTTCATTGTTAATATATATTGAGAACTTAACTTGCAGTAATTTCTGGTTTGGTAGGGAAGACTGTACAGTGTTGAACAATAAAAACAAACAAGCTAAAATCTTATATTTTGTACCGTTCAGTCGAGTCAAGTAATAAATAGTACATTATCTAGATGCTAGACTAGTTTAGATGAAGAACGAACCAGTGAAGATGTTCCCTCAAGTATGCATCACTTGGGCTTGGAGCATCAGGATCAGTCATGACCTATAAACATGCAGAAAATGAAAAATCATATTTTTAATTCTCTCTCTCTCTCTCGCCCGCGCGCGCACACACTATATATATAGGGATCCCAATGTGGAAATATGAGAAAGCTATACTTACAAGTGTATAAGCAGCCCTCATGTCTTCTCCGCCGATCTCGACGCGAGGTTTAGTGGTAATGACACCAGGCATGAGCTCATGGCCATTAGAGACTTGTCTGTTGGAATTGTAAGTCACATTCAAGTCCACACTTGGAATGAAATTGTCAACAACTTCTCCTATAACTCTCCCTACTGAAAGTGGTTCCATAACCCTGGACATGGCGAGGACAGAGATTTTGAGAAGAGAAAAAAGGGTATTTGCCTATTATCTTCTGAGAGGAAAATCTGTTGTCTGGTTTGTCTGTGATGAGATTGATTGAGGAATTCTAGGAGCAGGTTTTATAGAGGGAACAAGAAAGGGACTTTGATTTTCAAAGACTAAGCAGTAAAAGGTCGTCTATTTACATTGAGAAAAAAAATAAAAATTCCATGTCTGAGGATCTTTTTAACCCTTGCTATCTGTCTTCTTCAGAAGAGAGAAAAGACCACTACACTTTTTTTTTGGAGATTGCGGCTGTTGAATTTGGAAAATGCGAAAGTGACCGAAAATGGTTCGCACCGAATCGCACGAGGGGTGGAAGTCTCTCACATGTCGTGGGTCTTACTTGAATTAAAAATTATTCCTCCCCCTGTTTGTGGGGGCTCGGAGGCTGTCAGCCACCCAGTAAATGTAGCATATCCATTGAATTTTGCGATGTAGTTTAAACTTGGTACGAATATATTTAGCAAGCAATATTAGATCAGAATAAATGACAATAATAATTTGTCTATCCCAATAAAAATGAAACTTATCATTATCAACAATAACTAATTGCGTTAATTTTGATTTACCTCCGTCTTTTCTATCTTATTTTAGTGAAATGATGACGATATAATGAGCAATATCCTCTTTTAGCCGTTGTATGATTTTGTCAAAAATCGGACTTTTAGTTGATTTTGATAAAAGTTGATGAGATGTATAATCGAGAAGTTGATAAAAATTGTGAATTCTATGAAATTTATAGTTAAATTAATTATTGATTTTAATTTAAATTTCTATTAACTTTAACCAAACATGAGCTAAATAATATCGTAACCTTTTAAGCCGTCCTTCGTGTAAGAATAGAATTGGACAATAATATAAACATTCAACTTATTTTTCTTTATACTGCCGAGTCATTTCAAGTAGACCTTTTCGATGCCATAAATGTCACGATGTTATTGGATTAAAAAATGTTAAGAATTTGACGATTGGGTTGATAAGAATTTAGAATATAACTTTGTGACTTTAAAAATAATATCTTGGGCAAATGGGAATTCAGCTTTTGAGGTGCTTCCCTGAAATACAATACACATGAGAGAGGAAAAAATAAAACTTACCAAGAAAGCTTAGGAACGTGTACTTAATTTCAATCAAGAGATTACACCTATGTTATACCTTCTAAGGTTCTTTACTTAAAATGGTAATGACCATACAATTTTTGGGAAATTCTTTGATCCATTAATTATTTATACATCATGGGTTATCAATCAATCTCATAGAGGAGTTGTTTGTTTCTTGAGGTTCTAAGCTGGTCAAATTTCATTTTTAACATTCATTTAATTGCACAACTTAATGTTAAATTGTTCCATATATAGTAAATGTTAAATATGGATTTCAAAACAATCATGCTACACTAACATAAAATTTGACATTTGACATAATGTCAATTAGCATCCTATCATTCAATAGTTTAAAACATGGTCAACTTTTCATCCAATCCATTGATTTTTCACATGCTATTAAATCAAGTTTTCTATTAAATTCTTCTGAAAAAATAGCTTTATCCATTTTAAAATGCTCTATAAATTAATAGAAAATTTTAATGTAGCATAAAAATCTATTTCTTTATTTATTATTTCAACTTTTTTTTGAAAATGACAAAGGGTAAATCAAACTCTTTGACCCATCTGAAGACTGCACACACGTTTGGGTCATGTGGTCACAACTTTCATTTTCGAAGTTTTGAAATCCTAGTGAGTTTGTCTACGCGTACAGTAAACACAAGTGTCCACGTGTCCTTAACGAGCTTGAGAAAAGAATAGGAAACCCCAATTATTTGTAATGAAGAAGAATTGCCAAGTGTCTTGACACTTGTTTAAAAAAGAAAAAAAATGTTGAACCCCAATTTTGAGAATTCTCATCGTCTCGTTTTTAAAGTTTTGTGAAAGAGGTAAATTACGGAATGTGTACTAGTAAGTCAAAGAACAAGAGTTGTCTGTATACTGCGCCTACGAAGAGTCCAATTTTATGTCTCAAGAATCGAACCCCACACACTGCAACTGTCAACAAGGCGTGAAATAACCTCACTCTTGTCCTTTACACCACTTTTTTTCACATATATTATGTAGTGTTTGGCATAAATTTTGAAAGTCAATAATTATTATTAAAAATTAAGAAACTGTTTTGAATATGTTTGGAAAATATTGTAAAAATATTCTATCTTATTAAAAGGACTTTCGGATGAAATTGACATAACATAACTTTGTCAAAAAAAAAAAAAAAAAAAAAAAAAAAAAAAAATTTTTTAAAAGGAGATCCCCTTAACATGTGAGGGGACTGTACACCATAGTGTATAAATAGCTTTTTCCAATTTATTTACACAAATCTTCTATATTATGAACGTAACAATTCTATTATTAATTTTAAATTTTTATTTTGTTATTTATGGACTTTTCATCACTAATATTTATTATTTATTTTAATAAATTTATTTATTTATAGAACTTCTGTCTATAGTTTAAATATTTATGAAGAAAATCTAATAATTACCGACAAAAAACTTTTACTCGAAGATTATGCCAGCAAGATATCTGAAATGAACTTTCCTAAAATCTAGAGGTCTTATTTAAATACGGGGGCTTTAGGCAACTACTTGTTTATCCATCAAATCTAGAAATCACAAGTAAATTTTAGACGAATAAATTAATAAAAAGTACTTAATTGTATTTTATGAAATTTGTTCGACTCCATAGATTTCACGATATTCTAAAGATAAGCCCTTATTTGGACTCCATTTTTTCAAAAACTCATTTTTTAAAATTCATTTCTAACTAGCCATTCTCTCATAAAAGTAATTTTACATGTAAATTCATTTTTTATTAAATATTTTAGTCACATTTTAAAAAAATATATATATTTTTTCACAAATGGGTTCAAAGAGGGGCAAAAATTGTCCCAACAACTCACAATTTTATCATTCAGGGCCTGTTTTGGACGATTTTTTCTCTCAAAAAATTGATTTTTTGATCATTATTTTACTATTTTAGCCGTCATATTTGATTTCTTCTCTCACAAGTAGACCTCACTTTTCTCCTAACGGTCAAAAAATTAATTTTCAAAATTACTCCCAAATAGGCTCTCACTCATAGTCATAGATAAAGGTGGAGAAATCCAACTTTGCTTGAACATGCCGCGTTAAGAGTTCAAATCCTAAAATATGGATTTGGTTCTTGGGTAAGTGTAAGTATACAAACAGCCTTCCATCCTGTACCCTTGAAAGCATAACCTACGATTTACCTCCTTCACGATACTTCAGGATAGGGACAGTGAGGGACCCTTAAAGTTGGGGTTCAATCTTTATAATTGATTTTTCTTTTTAAGTGCATTGGGACTCGTTTCGTTATCCGAAACTGAAGAAGAGTCGGGCATTAAGCCTGAAAAAGGGCAACTCTTGTGCCTGATTTCAAGGCATAAAAGTTAAAGAAGAGCTCATCTTTCGCCAGTGTCTTGTCACAAATCTGAGGTCCCACTCAGGTTTCAATTTTCTCCTAATTTTTCGTTAATTACTTTTTATTAAAAAGTGAAAAAAAAACAGATCAAAACATCCAAGTTGCTTAAGTACTAAAATTTCAACACCTTTTTAAAAAAGTAGGAACCGAATAAAGACAAATGCAATTATGCAAAACCACACCATCTAATCTTGCACGTTCGTATCTTTCATAGAGATATAGGAATGTCACGTGTGGAATTAGATTTAATTGTTATCGAAAAAAGCTTTTAGTTAAAATAAGAACATCACCAATGCGCATGATTTCGAATTGTCAATTCAAATTATTGAAGTTAAAAATGGATTAGCATGGGAGATTCTACATCTTGGCTATACATTTCACGAATTTGATAAACTTTTACTTTACTTTCAAGTTAGTTAATAATTTAGACTTCGATTTGCTACAACTCTTTATTGCTATTCGATTAAGGGTATTAATAGCTTTAACTCGATCAAACATATAGCCATTGTGGGTTCAACACTCTGCACACTATTATATTACTTGTTTATGATCCTGTCCATTTGCAAATTTTCAAAGGGTCAAGTTTTGGCGCTGTTACCGGGAATTATTGTTTTTGATAAGTTTTAGTTTGTTTTAACTTTAATCTAAATTTTGTTTTTTAGTTTAATTCATTTTATTAAAGAAAATTACAGTGTTTTGGCTTCCTTTTTTAAGACATTGTATGCGAAGTTCGAGAATCGATTATTTTGCTCAATTTGATTCGAAAAAATCGAACAAGCATTCAACTTTCGAAGAAGACAACAATTGGAAACGCACCAAAAATAGAAAGGGGACGAAATGGCAAACAAAAATCTAAATCAATTAGCCATTGGAGTTAATCTGGGAGGTGCATAGCCGAATATAAATGCAGCGAATGAAAATGCAAGGCTCATGGGTGAATGTATGGTTCCACTGGTTTTGGACCAATCAGCATAGTATATCCAGCGTTTGGTCAGGCAAACTTCCACTTGAAAATGGATATAATCTACATGTTTCAAAATGCACTACAATTCTTATATGATCAACATGAGCAACCGCTCCTATTAAACTTTATGTGCCTCCTGTCCCATTTTCACAGAGATTACAAAAGAGGAAGCTGAAAGTACAGTTTGCAAAGTTTTTGGATATTTTCAGGAAGCTTTATGTTAACATCCCATTGATTGAAGCTATATCTTAAATATCAAACTATATAAAGTTTTTTAAGGAGATCCTATTGAAAAAGAGAAAGCTTATAGATTTTGAGACCATTAAGTTAAATGAGGAATGTAGTGCTATCATGCAAAACAAATTACCTCCTAAACTACAAGATTTAGGGAGTCTCAAAATACCTTGCTCAATAGGAAAAATTCGAATTTTAATTGCTTATGTAACTCAGGAGGAAGTATAAACCTAATGATTTTTTCTGTATACATGAACGTAGATTTGGAAGAGCTGAAGGACACGTCCATCTCCCTTTAATTGGCAAACAGATCAATCAAGTACACATGAGGAGTGGTTGAAAATGTGCTCATAAGAGTGGGCAAATTTATATTCCCTGTTGATTTCGTTGTCTTAGATATAGAGAAGCCACGGGATGTAGCATTACTTATCTTGGGTAGATTTTTTCTATCAAGAAGTCGAAGCTACCATAGACTTTGAAAGTAGGAAATTGACATTGAGAGTGGATGATCAATAAGAGAAGTTCAAGATCTACACTACTATCGAGAATCCAGTACATAGAGAGATCAACAAAAAGGCTAAGGAAGTATGTAAGTATATTGCTGAGACAGTGCAATAAGGATTGAAGGAGACAAAACCAAAAAATTTAATAAGCCTTGGACAAGAGGGGAACGAAGGGTTCAAGGTTTGAAGGGCAAACGAGGATGCGAGGTTGAAAATTGCAAGAAGTGCAAAAACTGTAGACACTTGTTTAAACCATCCTGATCAATTACTTCATACAATCTAGTTAAAGACTATAAATTAAGTGCTTATTAGGAGGCAACTTAATTTCTTAACCCTTTATTTATTTTACTTTCTGTATCGTACTGCATATTGATTTGATATAATTATTAGTTTGCATTAAATTTATGCACGTTTAAATTTATTGAGTATCACCATCCTTTCATGTTTCACCTTAGACCCTTGGATTTAGTGTTGGTTATTTAGATTGTTTAGGCTAAGTAACACATTTTCTAGATTATATGATTTTTAGTGTTCGATTTAACCACTATGTGCAGGAACATGACATCATGTAATACTCAAATCAACATAAACTCAAGGGAACGCATGATGAAAAAATTGTCTAGCCATCATACATAGTGCATTATACTTTCAACAGAAAAAATTCGGGGAGTAACTTCTTCCCTGTCCTTTTATATGCTTACTTATACTTTATAACATTGAAGACAACTTCAGTTTTAAGTTTGAGGGTGGGAAAACTTTGAGTTTTTGGTTTTTGTGTGTTTATTCTGTGTGTTTTTTAGGTATAAAAAATCTTTTATAGGATGTGTGCTTAAGTGGGTTAGATAATTTGATCGATAATAATGATCTAATTTGAGATTTGGTGTAGATCTATGAACTGTTGATAAGTTAAATACTTATATTGATTGATGCTTAGCCTTGCAAAATCTGATATTATATGCATTCAAAAATTGAGTTTTACATCATGCTACAACAAGTTGATTCATAGGCTGAATAGGTTGAAAGATCAAACATAGAGGCCAAACCTAAAGTTATCTTAAATTGATTGTCTAAGACAAAATCTAATATAGTTTAGGGGTGATTTTACTATTGTAGGAAGATACGAATGTGAATGTGAATTCCTTATGTGAAAAAATTATATGTGGATTGTCTTAGACTAACAACATAAAATTGAATGAAAATCTTAAGTTGGAAGTCGATTTGCTTGAATAGATATTTGATAAGGGACATTACACTAATCAAGGTATACATTTTTGTTTTAAAGCAGAAACTTCTCTTTAAAGTCTATACGACTAGAGCAATTAAGCCTCTAAGGGTATTTAAAAATTGGTATCCTAAAGTTATCTGACTTGGAAATCATCGATCTAAAGCTCGTTACAAGGGCAATTTAGAAAGCAATTAGAGGAGAAGTTGTACCAAAAAAAAAAGGTATTTTCTTCGAAACCTTTTTAACTTGGGTTATTAAACCTATGAGAGTCTTTAAAATCTAATACCTCAAATCATCAGATTTGAAAGTTATCGGTCTAAAGTTTACTACATGAGTCATCTAGAAAGTTTAATAAAGAGATACACAAAAAAAAATTGAAAATCAAAAATAGAAAATGCATGAAAAAAGGGGCAAAAGCGCTAAATGCTTGGTTATGTTCCAAACACTTGTTTGAGAGAATTTGACTTTTGATAAAAGATAATTAGTCTAATTGTGTCTTGACAGTCGAAACAATCAAATAATTGGAGAATCCTTATTCATTAATGTATTGACTTTCAACTTGTGACGTCCACCTGAACTAGAGAAAGCAAGGGTAATAATGAATAATTTAACCTTAGATTACACATTGGGAACGAGTGAGAAAATAATTGGTAGTATATGAATCATACGAGAGATGCAATGATATATTTGACCATAGAGGATCGAAATTTGAAATTACTTGTGTATTCATGATTGATTAATTAATTTTTCACACACACACACACACGTTGATTTTGCATTGGAATAGTGGATATTAGTTTGGTATCGTGACTTTGAAGCATGTTTGTGAAATTAACACTAAAATCTCGAATCCTGAGGTAAGAAACTGGATTGTCTAACCAAATACTTCTGCATGTTTGTATGTTTGTTGTTATTTAGATTGTGATTTTATTTGAGGACAAACAAATGTTTGAATTTTGGGTGATAAGTATATTTTATACATTTATTATGAGCCTAAAATAGCAATATTTGCTATTTCTTTTGACAAAATATATCCTAAATTGTTGTGTTTTATGTTAGACGAATAAAATTCAATGGTTGAGCAAGAAATTGGAAGAAACAAAAGAAGAATCCAAAAAAGTGTGAAATTCAAAAGACAAGGACCAAGTTGCAAATAATATATAGACGAGACGGGTTATGAAATGAAGATCGAAGAGGTCAAGGCTTTAATTGGTTACAATTGAAAGATAAAGGAATAAGATCACAAGAAAAAAATGACTGAACTATAGTCGAATTATTATCACATATCAAGGCAAACAAGTTATAATCCAAATTTTCAGTCTCTGTTTGAGACCCATCTTCGGCATATTAAACGTTTGAATTGAAAAAAAAATCTATTTCAAGCAAAATTGTAGCACTTTGAGTTAGCTTTTCAACACCCTTTGAATCGTCTCAATCGAATATTGGGAGAGAAAATTATGACCAAAATACTGAACGCTGTCCGACGAAGAAAGAACTTGAACTATTCGATCGCAGAGTTCAAAAGGCTTGCGGTCACATTCAACCTTGCAGAGAAAATTTTGGAGTTCAACAAGTGATCTATGCAGTAGCATTCTAATGTAGTACAAAATTTTGGCCGAATCTCAAATTTCCTTATACGATTAAAACTCAGTTTGGCAAGATTTTCAACGACATCTTTAACCTAGATATGAGCCATATAAATACCAAAACGTCCTATACGCATAGGGAGCCTCTTTTATGCAACAAACAATTCAAGAAATTGAGAGAATCATATAGGAGAAGAGGGCAAATTCATCTTTGTGAGAGATTTCAACCAAGGAATTGCAATAAGACTATTGAGCATAATTCACACCAGAAAGATTGCATAAGAATTAGAAGGAAACTTCAAGAGGTATCAAGATTTCATCGAAGTCGTTCAAGAATTCAAGATTTCTCACCAATTATTTAAATTTCGGGTGATGTATATTAACTTTAGAATGTGTTCTTGTAATTTCATTATGCTTGGCTAGGTTTTATATTGCTAGGATGATATGAACTCTTGTTATGACATTTTTAGTTTAAATAATTGAATTGACGTAATTTGCTTGAATGTTAAGATGTTTATCATTCTTTATTTGCTTTTCAATTAAGTGGCCATTAGGATTTTTTTTTTGGTGGGTTTTATTATCATCGAGAGAGATAGCACGCAGTGATAAATATTGTGAGGTTCGATAGAGATATATCTCTATACTTCATATGGTTTTATTAATGTTCTAGAGCGTTTAATGCTTTCTAGCACGTTCGTATCTTTCATAGAGATATAAGAATGTCACGTGTAGGATTAGATTTAATTACTATGAAGAGAAGCTTTTAATTAAAATAGGAATATCACCAATAAGCATGATTTCGAATCGTCAATTCAAATTTTTGAAGTTAAAAATGGATTAGCAAGGAGGATTTTTCATCTTAACAATCCATCTCATGAATTTGATGAACTTTTACGTCGCTTTCAAGTTAGTTAATAATTTAGACTTCGATTTGCTACAACTCTTTATTACTATTCAATTAAGGGAATTAATAGCTTTAACTCGATTAAACACATAGTTCTCATGAGTTTAATACTCTATACACTATTATATTACTTGTTCACGATCCCGTCCACTTGCGAGTTTTAAAAGGGTCCAAAACCGAAAAGAGAAATCTATCCCTTATTTACATACTATCAGACTATCCTCTTAATGACAACTACGTTTTATTTGGGGTTTTCACTTGTAATCTATATTATCGAGTAAGCAGATTTTGCAATCAAAAGGTACTGTAACTATTCTTTTAATCATGTCCCTTGGCGGTGTTCATGAGACGTGGTAAGCAAATCTGTAGATAGACATAATGTTGAGGGAATAATGCTCCTCATCCGGGGATTAAATCCCGGGTTTGGAGTCAAGGGCCGAGGTGACGTGACCTCGACCCTTGATTTGAAATCACAGGCCCCATGTGCTGCAAGATTGAAGGTTGAGGTCACACCACCTCAGCCCTGCATCTAAACTTGGGGTTAAATTTCGGGGTCTGCAGCACGTTTGATGTTGAGGAGTCATTGTGTTGACCCCCACGACCAAATGTGGAGTGCTGGTTGCTAGATTAATATAGACTCAATCTCGTGTCACTACTCAACAACATAATATCGAGGAGCCCTTGAGTTAACCCCACAACTCTGCTTGGTTGTTACTGACACTCCTACTCAATAGTCATGAATGAAAATACATCTGAATCTCCGTGCCACAACTCAATGCTCCTATTGAGCTCAATCTCGCGTCAATATACAGTGAGAAAATCACGCAGCATCGGTGCCAGTGGAATTAGCTTTCTAATTAGAGGTATATCCCCATCAATTTTTGGGTAAATGTGATCCAACTATCCTTATTTGTCTTTGGACCAACAAAGCCACCACTTAGAAAAATAATAATATTCCGCTATAGTGCAATTGAAGGATATTAGCAAAATATGCACGACCTAATCCCTATTGCCTCCATATATTAATTAATTGATTGGAAAATTGGTAATTAGATACGTACCAAATCATGCCACGGTTAAAGTATGCATGACACACAATGTACACAGAGATACAAAACAAAATAAAAAGACACTATTTGCTCCAACTGGAAAAAATAAACAATAATCTTAAGATTCATGATCTGCACCGTTCATATTAAAATACCCTTGATTACGCGAGTTGCACCGCCGAAGCCAGGTTGTCTCTGGATCATCACCGATATTTTGATCGGACAGCTCAGATTTCACATCAGTGCCGGGCTGCTGCAGCTGCAGCTGCAAATCCATATCATGGTCCGCCGAAGTACCGTCGAATTCCCTCCCGCGTTTCACGCCCATCGGCATACCGATCAGCCTCGCGCTTAATCTCTCCGCGTTAGATCTTATGTCATTTACTTCGCCGCCGTCAGGCGCCGCGGAAGCGGTAACTACGCCTTCCATTTCTTCACAAAATCCTGTCGAAGGTAGCAAATCCGGGGGCTTCGCAGCCTGGTCATTGCTACTGCTGCAATTAGAGAAATTTGACATAAGATGGTAAATTTTATTGCACAAGTTCTTCACGTCGCTCAAATCTTTGTTGAGCTGCATGTTCTCTTTCCTCAGCCGCTCGTTCTCTCCAATAAGCTCAGATGTGCTTCCGCTAAACTCGAGTACAGCCCCGGCGGAGTTGGAGGACGACAGAACCTGCTCTTCCCCTGAGTCCGAAGGAGACTCCGTCCGCAGCTGAGTTGTAGCTGGCGTCGGATGTGCAGCCGCCACCGTAACCGCAGCTAGCGATGTTGCAGCCACCGCAGAAGACAGCGTTGCTATTTTCCGACGCTGTATATCGCATAAAAGCATTTTCTCGTCTCGCCGGAAGCATTCGTTTGAAAATTCCCACCGATCAGGGACAACCTTCCTAAATCCCTATAAATTGAAATACGAAAACCGCAATCAGTAAATGATAAAAGAAAACCTCTATTTCCATATGAATTAATTATCTTCTATCAGATTCTCGGCGATTAAGCTTACGTAAGTATTGAGTTGACGGACAAAACTCGAGAAATTGTTGTGCTTGAAATATTTAGGGAGCAAATCTCTTGCAAATTCTGTAGGATTCCATACGACAAAAGTAGATCCGTCTTCATTCCAGGAGATAACATCATCATTTGTGTGGTCATCCACAAGCTGGTAAGTTTTAGTTAGAAAAGGAGTAGGTAACGTCCTAGCCGAGTCGCCGGCGTTCCGACCCTCTGGTGGCGGAGTCATAGCCATACCCCAACTAACCCAAACCTGAATCAAATCAAACTCATCACCCAAACAAAAAAAAGAGAAACTCAATCAAATCCCTCGAAAGTACACGTTTCTTGGTTACAGACTCGTGTTAATCAAAACTTTTGTTGCAGATCTAGATGAAAGAGAGAGAAAGGGGTTTAGATTTGTTGTAATTCTAGAAGCTTCCCCTGGAGATAGGGTAAAATATAAAAGTGGGAGGAGCGAGCATAGAACCGTGTTAATTATTTGAATGATAATTCTTAGGCCACGATTATTACTCATTTTTTTAAGAATGAAAATAAAATAATATAGTCGTTACGTAATACAAAAAAAAAAAAAAAGTCAAATATGGAGACTTAATATAATAAATATGGGAGAAGAGCGAACATAGAACCGTGTTAATTATTTGAATGATAATTTTTAGGCCCTATTTAGTACCCATTTTTGTAAGAATGAAAATAAAAAATATAATCGTTACAGGATTCACACAAAAGATAAAAAGTCAAATATGGTGACTTGATGTGATGAATACGGTCATATTTTTCTTTTTGTGACAAAAAAATAGAAATCAAACGAGGCTTAATAAAAATGATTTCTTAATCACCGGCATTTAGCTTATTGAATTATGTACCATATTACTCATCCATTATTCAAGTGGGAAAATTTGTTAGATTGAATCAAGTAGGTCAATTTGAGCGATGAATGAGTAATATGATGCATAGTTTATTGACCATTGAAATACAATTTTAAATTCAATTATTAAGTGTTAACAATTTCTTCTCTCACTTCTTCCATCAAATCAACATTGGTGAAAGAAGAAATCAAAGAAAATGAAGAGAGAAAATATCTGAAAATTAGAAACCTATAAATCATAAAAAAAAATAATAAATAAATAAATAATAGAATGTCATTACAGAAGATTTTAGAGCAAGCTTTCAAATATCCAATTCTTCATAGAAATTTGACCTGTCCAATTACACGATCCAATTTCGTTCCAAAGTGAAAAAATAGTTTTATCTTTCACAGAGACATTTGATCATAAAATTTAGAAAACATAATCGTTTGTAGAAATCTTAACCATCACTTCCAAAAATATCAATATTTCTTCAAAAAAAAAAAATAGTTTTTTTTTGGAAAAATGAGATACCCACCATGCAAAATTCAATCTTTTGCAAGGCCAATTGTGAAAAATTTTATTTTTCTTGGATTTATAAACCTCTGATTTTCAGTCTCCTCTTTTTTCCTTGATTTTCTTTGGTTTCTTCGTTCATAAATATCAATTTGAAAGAAAAAGAAATTGTTACTACTTAATAACTAATTTAAAATTGTATCTTAATGCTGATTGAATTATACAAATTGTAACTGTTACGTGTTAGCACACTTGGACAACCTACCGGGGCCCATCGCCAGCACATGTCGAACCACATGGCACTCAATCCAAGGTGATTTGCATAGTCAAGGCCCATTGATCCTGGCCTCATGAGGCACTCCGAAGCTCATATGCCAAGGCCCTTTGAAGGTGGCCGAGGTCCTGTGTTGCCGAAACTCCTTAGCATAGGTGACAGCATTCGAAGCACAAAGCAACATCTTCCATAGACACTTCTCCCAAGAGATCTTCTGCGCAAAGATCTTGAATGATTAATAGGACGTTTGTCATGAGTGTATTCGTTAAGTCTTGTCACTAGTAGAGGCTGCTCTGCCAACCAATAAATGTATAATAGGCTAGGTGCGGCTGATCAGCCAACAATTTGACATGTAAACTAACCGGATGAGGCCACGTATATCTCGAATCAAAGGTCACGATCTAACTTGTGACATTATAGATATTCCTCCATGTACTCCATACAAAGGCTAATGCAAGAATCAATACAAGAAATCATATTTTACTCAACTCTCTCTCTCTTATATTATCTTGCAACACAAACGAGTTCATACAAATTTGGATACACGTTTGCAAACATCGATTGGTAATTATTGTACAATTGGTCAACGAACATCTCGCAGGATTCCAAACGTTTTTGTCCCGTGCCGTTGAGCTACTCTAACGCCCTCGATTTGTCCGTTCTAGACCGTCCACATGTCTTAGCGTGTTGGACTTTCGCTCACATGTGTGCGGGTGGGTATGACATCTGTTGGCAAAATATTTTGGGGTTAACAAATTGACGCCGTCTGTGGAAAATCATACCATAACCACGAACAATCTTGTGCTGAAAGCTTGTTCGAAAAGGGATATTTGGGCATCCCCCTTGAAAAAAGATTTGTTCTTGAAAAAGAACAAGAGGAAACCCCACGACTTAACAAAAATCTGAAGGGTAAGACATAGGGAAAATGAGTTCAAACGAAGATATACCCCCCAGAAGGGTAAGAGAAAATGCTAATGTGCCACCCCAAGCAGCAGCTCGACATTGACACATCATAACCATCGACGAGGTGGAATGCGTGCGACAGCCCGGCTGTCAAGAGAAATGGCCGCCATGGCAGCTAATATGAGGGACATTGCTAGCAAAAACATGGCTATGAGGGAACTTATGGTCCAAATGCAGGGCCAGGGAGGCTTCCCTATTTCTCCATACGCTCCTCAAGGGCAATACCAGCAAGAAGATGAAGTTCAAAGCCACAGGGCTACCTCGTCGGATTATAGCTGAGGTGTAAGCCCATTTGAAAAGGAAGTGGAATTTGACGTTTCATCCAACTACGCTTCCGGTCGACCCACTGAGGTCCCTTTGCACCATGATAACTTTCTACCTTCGTATGAGCAAGAGTAAAGACATAGGAGGTCAGGCAACGTATTTGACAGAATCAGCCCCGTAGAACCGAGGCTCAGATAACAGTAGCATCACGAGCCTTGGACAAGGCCACCGCCTCCACCTCCAATGCATCAACAGCCGGAGGAAAGGCATGAGAATGTCCCCCGTGTTGCTCCGTCTAGAAATAGGCGCCAAAAGAGGGAGGAAGAGACTAGGAATCGCCCCGAAACCTCTCACCAACAACCGAGGTACGAGGCTGAAGAAAACGATTCTGATGAGCAGCCGAGGTCCTGTGACTTGGACCATGATGATGAGAATTTGCCATTCTCAAGGGAACTAAGGAATACCCAGGTCCTAAGCTATTATGTCATGCCAAAAATACCGAAATATGATGGAAGAGGTGACCCAGAGAAGCAGCTGAATGCTTACAAAACTCACATGAGCCTAAGAGGCGCCACCCCAGCTGTGAAATACAGAGCTTTCCACTTAACACTCAGCGGCGGATGAAGTTTGATATAGTAGGTTACCACTTGGGAGCATAAGAAGCTGGCCCGAATTCAAGACGACCTTCCTGAAGAGATTTGCCATGAGCAAAGAGGGAGAAGCCCCCATCCAACGTCTCCAAGACATGAAATAGGCACATGGGGAGTCTCTAAAGAGCTTCCTATCACGTTTCACCGATGAGATGACATATTGTGTGCAAGTCACCAACCGTGAGGCGTTATCTGCACTGAGAGGAGGTCTGAACATGAACACCATGTTCTGAAGGGACGTGCAAAATTAAGATCCTACTACCTATGACGCCCTACTCGAGATGATGAGACGGGAAATCATCAATGAAGAATTGATTGAGCATAAGAATAGAGCGAATAGAGGCCTCCCACCTCCTCAAAGGCAGCGTGCTAGAGGGTCGACCTCCCACTTGATGGACTACCAGATGAACCAAGCTGGTAATGAGAGTTCTGGGCAAGCACTGGTCACCACCACTCTTAACGCTGTTCCTACACTAGCATATGAGGATATCAACCCCATCGCCAATACCCAACAGACAGGAACTCTGCAAGGATCTCGTAGGGGAAGAGGCCAAAGCCGAGGTTTACGACCTAGAAATAGGTCAAATTAAAACCCGTCTGGATACTGTGTATATCACCGGTCTTATGGACACAACACAGCGGATTGTCGAGATTATGCTCACCGCTCCCAACAAGAACCCCCTAGGAACAGAAACAATTCGTCCCAGGCGAACAGGCCCCCACCAAGGTACGATAACCGACCTGGGCGTGAAGAGGTCGCTCCACATCAAAGGGATGTCTCTCCGTGACGAAGGGAGCGTGAAGCAGAAAGGCCTAGGGAAGGGCGCAGACATCGAAAAAATCGACAAACTTAAGATGAGGCTCATATCCACGAGGTGGATATAATTTTTGGAAACCCTTATGTGGGTGGTGAAATGTGGAACGCCAAAAGGAATTATGCCCGTGAGGCCAAGCATCCCCGCTAACTAGCTATATTGTGGGCCATAGCTCTCGAAGAGATCAAGTTCTACCTATTGTCTTCAACTAGGAGGACACTGAAGGGGTTCACCATCCCTACTGCGATGCACTTGTGGTAAGAGCAGTCATAGCTCGGAATGGGTTGAAACAAATGCTGGTTGACAATGGAAGCTTCGTCAACATTTTATTTGGACCCACCTTTAACAAAATGATACTGGATCATGAGTTAACATCCACCACCACTCCTTTGTACGGATTTACTGGAGACAGCATTACTCCGAGAGGAAAAATCACACTCGCAGTAGAAATGGGAGAATCTCCCCAAACCACAATGAATTTCATGGAATTCCTCGTTGTTGAACCCTGAAAGAATTGGGAGCTGTCACCTCCATCCACCACCTATGCATGAAGTTCCCAACTGAAAATGGGGTGGCAATGGTGAGAGGCGACCAAAGTGGCTCGAGAGAATGTTATTTAAGTTCCATCAGAAAGGTAGAGCCCTGAGATGTCCATGTAATTATTGCGATGTGGTCATGGCTGACGCCCCAGGTGACGCTCCCACCGAACTGAAAGACGTCGAAATGATTGACACACCACCTAATCCGGAGGTAAAGGTCATCGCTGAAATTGACCTCCGCATAATTGAACATGAACCTCAAGCATCCCCAGTTGAGGAACTTGAAAGCTTATCTGAGGACCGTCGAGACCCATCGAAATTGTTAAAGATGGGAAAAAATTTGCCCATCAATGCAAAAGAACAACTCAAGGATTTCCTAAGGAGGAACATCGATATCTTTTCTTGGAGGCATGAGGATATGGTAGGCATAGACCCCAAGGTCGTTGCCACCACTTGAAAATTGATTCTAAGGTTGCCCCGCATAGACAAAAAAGAAAAGCCCTCAATCCTGAGAGGTACGAGGCCGTGAATGAAGAAGTTCAGAAGCTCATCCGAAATGGCTTCATTAGGGAGGCCACCTACCCGAG